GCCAGGACCTTAAAGGGGAACCGGAACCCGAAGGTAGATACCCTGAAGCTGTGGCCCGAAGAGTCAGTAGAGTTCTTCTCCAAGAGCTCTCCCACCAGGACACAGTGCGGGAGTGCAGTGGTCAGAGTATGCTGTGTGAAGGTTTCGGGGAGGGCGAGTTTTGCACTTGTGGGGAGGTGAACTTGCCAGGCAAGGTTCGGTCGTGTGCGAGTTGTCTTCGAGGGAGACAGGATTTACAACTTGAGAGCCGACACAACGCTGAGAGTCAGGCCCTTACTACCAACCCGGAGTTGGCACTGGACCCCAATCCCATCGACCCCCAAGCCTCATTCCTGGAGCCGCAAGCTGACGAAGGTGATGAGATGATGGATGACAGTCATGCTGGTGATTCGGAAGCTTGTTACAGTGATGAACAAGTGTCGATGGTGGAACAACAGGCCCAGACCCTGCTTGAGAAACAACAGTTCCACCATAAGGCTTGTGAGGCTCTCCTCAAAGAACTCCCCTACACTACTAAGGCCCGACATCGACAGGCCCTCACTCAGGCCCATCCTAGGTACCTCATCTTGGGCACCTACGCGTATGGTAACCACTATGGCGTGACCAAATGGACCAAGAGACTCCCTAATGTCTGTAAGTACCTGCTTCGATACGTGCAACATTGGTCCAGCGAACCTGTCGTAGGAACCAGTCTGGTCGTGAACAACAACTGTAGTATAGGGGTGCATCGTGATCACAACAACCTTCCTAGGTCTAAGAACTTTGTGATTGGTGTGACCCCGTATCAACATGGTGAGCTGTGGATAGCTGGCAATCCCCCAAACCACAGATACCAAACACTGGTTAAGCAACTTCCGGACAAGAGCCGTGCAAGCGGCTACCTGGTGAACACGCGGCAGCGTGTGGCATCTTTCGATGCTCATCAATGGCACGCTGTACAGCCGTGGCAAGGGAACAGGGTTCTTGTGGGATTGTATACCAGTAGAGGGGTGAAGCACCTTGAGGATCAGGACCGGAGGGTTCTCCAGAATTTGGGTTTCCAGTTCAGGGTGGAACACTGTGAACAGGACGTTGAAGGAGGGATGGCCGTTCAAGCGTTGAGGGTTAAGAAGGGGACCACGATTGAAGAAGAAATCAAGAGGAAGCTGTATCTACTGCATGCCGCCACTGGCCATGGGAGTACACGACATCTCATCAACGCCTTGAAGCGTAGGAATGTTGATCCGCTTGTGCTTAGGCTGGCCGAAGAGTTTGTCTGCCCTATATGCCACGAACGACAGAAAGTGCAACCAAGACAGTTAGCTTCCCTGGAGCCTCTTCCTCCTAAGTTCCACACGTTGACGGCGGATATAGGCCATTGGACATGTCCCCGAACTGGTGAGCAACAGAACTTTCTGCTGATGATTGATGATGGTTCCCGATTCCGAGCCGCCAAAGTCCTCACAAAAGGGTCCAAGCAAACCCCCAACGCCGCCACGTGCCTCAACTACATCTCCGAAGGCTGGATCCAGACCTTCGGTAAACCGAAGACGATGAGGCTCGACCCGGCAGGCAGTTTTAGGTCCACGGCAGTAGAAGACTTTTGCGATAGGAATGGAATTTACCTGGATGTCATTCCGGGTGAAGCACATTGGCAGATTGGGATTGCCGAGCAAGCAATACAGGGCGTGAAGCAGTTGATGAACAAACTTCATGATCATGATCCGGAAGCGACCCCTGAACAACTGTTGAGTTTGGCAGTCGCAACTTTCAATCAACGCGAGTTGGTTCGCGGCTTCTCTCCCGTTCAACACGTTCTAGGGCAGTCCCCTGACACCACGGACAGACATATTCCGTCTTTACAACCACAAGATGTGGAGCCCATCCTGAACGACGCGACAGCAGAGTTCCACCAAGAAGCCGAGCGACGAGCCGTCGCAGCAAAGGCTTTGATAGACTGGCAAGCGCAGCAGCGGGTGAACCGCGCCATGAACTCTCGGACGCGAAGTCAGTGTGTGTATCGTCCGGGAGACTTGGTGTTCTTTTGGAGGACTCAAGAGTCCGGCCGTCACAAGAGGCACCCCGGAACTCGACAAGGAAGATTCCTGGGACCAGCGAGGATCTTAGCAATGGAGACCCGACAAAGTGAGTCGGGGGATGCAAGGCCAGGCCACGCTGTGTGGCTAGTGCGCGGACGGCATCTCCTGAAGTGTGCCCCAGAGCAACTGAGACCCGCTAGTCAGCGGGAGGAGCTCGTAGAATCGCTGGCGCAATCCGACGCCACTCCTTGGACCTTCACGAAGCTGACAGCGGAGATTGGAGGGAACCAATATGAGGATATCAGTGAAGAAACCCCTACGGAGGGGGAGTGGAATCGAGCACAGGATGTGATGCAGGAAGTTCCGCCAAGCCGAACCCGTCTGCGAGGGAAAAGGAGTATGCCAGTGAATGAGCCTGAGGACGATGTCGCCATGGATGAGCCGGGCGAACCCAGCCAACCAAGCAGAGTCCGCCGAACCGCGGATCCTCGAGGCCCGAGACCGGGAGAGGTTGCGCCTACGCATTGGAGTGAACTGGTGCAGGACACCGCGTGGGTGTCTCATGAGACGAGCTACTGGACGGATGAGCAAGCCGCAGTGGAAGTGGCTTTGGATATGCCAGAGGGCCAGAAAGGCTGGGATACCTTCTACAAGAATCCACAAGCTTATTTGGTGAGCATGCTGAAAAGGCGAGCAGTGGAGGTCAGTGAACGACGACTCAGCGCAGAGGATAGAGAGAAGTTTGCGGAAGCAAAACAAAAGGAGGTGCGAAACTTCATCTCCGCCAATGCGTTTGAGGCACTCCCGAAAGGGCTACAGCCCTCAAGGGAGCAAGCTATCGGCATGAGGTGGCTGCTCACCTGGAAAGTCCAGGACAGCGGTGGCGTGAAGCCTAAAGCACGTGCCATTTTATTAGGCTACCAAGACCCTCAATACGAAAACCGATCGACCGCCGCTCCAGTAATGACTCGTCAGACCAGACAGCTCTTCCTTCAAGCCGCCTCTAATAGACATTGGAGGATTCAGAAAGGGGACATTAGCGGGGCGTTTCTTCAAGGCCGGGATTACCCGGATGAGTTGTTTTGCATTCCTTGCGATGAGATTCTTGAAGCTATGAACCTCCCAAAAGGGTCAATCACGAAGCTCAAGAGGGCTTGCTACGGGTTAGTGGATGCTCCACTGGAGTGGTACAAGACTGTGGCTGAGTTCATGGAAAGCATTGGCCTGGTTAGGTTGTGGAGTGATGCTTGCGCGTGGATTTGGAAGCCCGCGGGACAGCTGCGTGGGATGGTGACGGGTCATGTTGATGACTTCATGTTTGGGGGATCGGATGCTGATTCAGGGTGGCAGGCGATTATCAAGCTGATTAAGGAAAGGTTTCGTTGGGGAGATTGGGATCAGGATAACTTCACCCAGTGTGGGGTTCAGATTGAAAGCACCCAAGAAGGCTTCACCCTCTCTCAGCCTCGCTATCTAGAGAGCCTCGCCGAGATTCCTCTTAACAGTGCTAGAAAGAAGCAAAAGGCCTCCCCAACAACTGACAGAGAAAAGTCCCAACTCCGAGCGTTGCTTGGTGGATTGAGCTGGTATGCTCAGCAGACCAGCCCTCACGTAGCAGCCGAGGTCAGCCTTCGCCTCTCGGAAGTGTGTGAGTCTACTGTGGAAACTGTGATTCAGACGAACCAGCTTTTAGAATATGCTCGCCAGCGACAAGGGCATAAGATACTCATACACCGCTGCAAGGATGAGGACACGCAGTTCTTCGCATGGGTTGATGCAGCTAACAAGAACAGACGAGGCGACGGAAGCACTCAAGGGATTTTCATAGGGGCTGCTTCCAGGGAACTTCTCCAGGGAGAGGTGTGCCAGGTGAGTCCCATAGCCTGGCACTCTACCAAGATCGACAGGACGTGCCGTAGCCCAGGATCTGCAGAAGTGCAGGCGGCGGTGAACGGCGAGGACGCCTTGTTCTACGTGCGGTACCAGTGGTCCGAGATGGTCTACAACGACGTGGATTTGCAAAATCCCTCCAGGATGGTCGCCCAGGTGGGCGGCACTATCATCACCGACTCCCGAAATGTCTACGACAAACTCCACACCGCCGTGTTGACGATTCAGGGGGCCGAGAAGAAGTCCAATCTGGAACTTTTGAGTGTCAAGGAGTCCCAGATGAGTACGGGCTTAACGGTCCGATGGGTACATTCAGAAGCTCAATTGGCCAATGCTTTGACAAAGCGGGGCGCCAAGGAATTAGAATTGTACTACAAGATGAACTTCACATGGCGAATCGTGGAGGACCCCGACATGAAGTCGGCCAGACGACGACGACTGGACGGTCTGAACCCTCTCGAGCAGACTCCTTTACCAATTTAATGTATGTCTTCCTGAACTCCAGGAAAGAGCGGGCATGCAAGTGTTCGAAGGACACTTGGTGTTGCTCAGCGCGAACTCTCCGGCTTCGCAGCTATTCAGATCAAGGCGCAGGGGTAGTGCCGGTAAAACAAGGATCTCCGAGCCGTGCTGCTGTGCCGCACTGCTGTGATACCTGGACCTCGTAACCCCACTCCGAGATCTCCGATTGAGCCATTCCTACCAGCACGTCCCACCTTGGGTCGTGCAGACCCTATAGATCCCTTAGAGGAGCCTTTAAGGACCCCTGTCAAAGAAGGTCCTAAGGCCCCCCAGCCCTTCAAGGAACCCTAAAGCTTAGGGTTTAGGGTTTAGAATTTAGGGTTTAGGGTTTAGGGTCTTAAGCCCTAAACCCTGTAGACCCCAAACCCTGAACCCTAAACCCTATAGACCCTCGACCCCAAAAACCCTATAAACGCCTAACCCCTAAGCCCTAAACCCTAAACCCCTAAAGCCCTACCCTAAACCCTAAACCCCTAAACCCTAAACCCTAAAACCCTAAACCCTAAACCCCTAAACCCTACAGACCTATAGACCCTAAACCCTAAACCCTCGTGTAATTTCGGGTCCGAGGTGCGCCGCCCTCGGCTTTCCCACAGGCGCGGCAGCCCGCCGAGGGAGCCCACGTCTTTCTGGCTTTGCTTGAGGGTTTAGGGGTTTGGGGTTCTAGGGTTTAGGGTTTAGAGGTTAGGGGTTTGAGATGTAGGGGTTAGGGGTTTAGGGTGCAGGGGTTTGGTTTTAGGGGTTTAGGTTCAAGGGTTTAGGGGTTCAGGGTGTAGGGGGGCTCTGTATAAGGGTAAATATAGGAGCCTTATTTTCAAAATGGTGTTTTGCGGTATACAAAGATAGGTCAACAATCAGCAATCCTCAGGAATGTATGGGTAAGTATTCCGGCTGCGTTTGTTCTCTAAACTATACTCCCTTTCAGGTCGCCAAAACAGTACAGCACCCATCTGAAAAGAGACCCTAATTGAAAGAACTGCCCGTATAAGGTTTTCTAGTAATTGAATGCGATCCGCCACAAAAAAGGTTTCGGGTTCCCCAGGCATAATATGCCGAGGTAGACAGATATTAGACAGTAATAAGGATTAAGATTACGAGAAGATTAAGATTGAAGCCCACAACAGAGCAGGTGCAAAGCCAGCGAGGCCCACAGAGCCCAAAGCGGCGGCTGCGACCAACGATCCCGGAATGAAGTTCCAAGCGAGGCCTTCGCCAGTTTTTCGACGACCCGGAGACCACTCGCAAAACCGAGTAGGTTTAGGGTTTAGGGTTTAGGGTTTAGGGTTTCCCCTAACAAGAAGCCCCTGGAGCTGGGCCAAGCCGTGCACGAAGACCGCAAGCGGGCCCTCGCTGCGGACAAGAGCCTGGACATGACAACCCCGGGTTTAGGGTTTAGGGTTTAGGGTTTAGGGTTTAGGGGTTTAGGGTTTAGGGTTTAGGGTTTAGGGTTTATGGTTTAGGGTTTAGGGTTTAGGGCACTTCAAAGCGAGATAAACCAGAAGGATGCCACAATATTATCTTAGCGTTCTTCTGGTTGGCTCTTTAGACTTTAACTTTTTGGGCTTCTATATGAACTATAATATCTTGGCTAAAAGTTTAACTTTTAGGAGGGGTTCGGAAGTACGCCAAGTATTGGCACTGCAAGAAAACAACAGGAATCTCTGGTCACAGAGCCCCTAAACCTAAACCTTAAGCCCTACATCCCAATGATACGGTTTAGGGTTTAGGGTTTAGGGTTGTGTTGACCTCAGACAAGACAAAAGGCCCATTCACAAGAGGTCAACACCAAAAACACAAGGACCCAACAGCAAAACAAACGCAAGCAAACGTAAGCAGCAGCAGCAACAAACCGATCCACCAACCAAAGAGTTTCGAGGACCTTATTCTAACATGGTGGCAAAATAGAGGCCCTGTAACTAGACAGACACACGAGAAACCCGAAACCCTAAACCCTAAACCTTAAACCCCTAAACCCTAAACCCCTAAACCCCCACTGCCGAAACCCCAACCCTAAACCCCCAAACCCCCAAACCCCTAAACCCTAAACCTTAAACCTTAAACCCCTAAACCCTAAACCCTAAACCCCTAAACCCCTAAACCCCTAGAGCCCCTAAGCCCTAAACCCCAAACCCCGAAACCCTTAAACCCTTAAACCCTAAACCCTAAACCCTAAACCCTAAACCCTAAACCCTAAACCCTTGAACCCTAAACCCTATAGTCTAGTTATTAAGGCCCCTGTTCTTTAAGTCCATGAAGGCTCATCC